AAAGTCAGCCTTGCAACACAAGCAGCGTACTAAGAAATACAAGGAGCAGCAACAGAAGATACTTCACCTTCTTCAGCTCCCAAAGGCTTGTGCTTTCGGCACCACAATACAAAGGACTTCGGTGCAGAGGATCATATGAAACTCCACTCTTTCTTCCTACGGTGGGAAGGAAAAGAAAGCATCTTTGGAATTTCCTCAAGCTACTCTATGGGAATATTATTTTCATTTCATCATGACAGTAAAACTGCCCACCACTTCAAAGTGGATAGGCCGGAGATTCACAAAGAAGTACGCATGGGTTATATTCAATATGCCCTTCCATAGTGTGTCATCACAGGTGAGTTCCTACATGCTTCGAAAGAGCCTTGGAGAGACCAGGCTCCTTCTGAAAGGACCTCACGAGGAAGTGAAGCTAGAAGCAGCCTCCAAGCTAGATGGGTTCTCGAAGCAGGTTCAAAGCCAAATGTTCTAGCTGGGTTCACAAGTGAAGGAGTAACTAGGCATCCTAGGCCTCATTACATCACCCTGAAGATGTGTGAACTCGGAAGCAAAAAATTCCAAGCTAATTTATGTAGCTTAATGGGGTTGTGACTACACAGTAAAGTGAATTAAGCAGACGATTAACACAGCCTTCTCATCACTGCTAATGGATAGAAGAGGAAAAAAAACAATTCAGATTGTTTTGAATCAAGTGAATCAATCTGGGAAAGTTTAAAATAATTAATCCCTTAAGTTTTCAGCTTAATCCCTTCGGCTTCTCAGTTCATCAAGTTTTGATGAACATTACTGAATGTTGACACTTGAATGCATTAGATTTTCTTGCTAATTTACCTCCCATATTCTGATGATGCACCCATGAGGGTGCTGAATTTGGATCATTCGATTTGGCAGAATTTTCTGGCGGACTACTTTTCTCTTTATCTGCATCCACAAATTTTTCTTCATTCTCTTCATCTTCTTCTTGATCATTAAAGCACTCTTCTTCATCTGACTCCTAAATAACACAATATAAGTGAAAGGCTTTTCTAGTTTTCTTATGATTTCTTAGAAGAATGTCCATATTTCTGTGCTTCTATACTGTTAGTAGAATGTACATATCAATTTTTTTAGCTTTGACAGAGGACTTAAAATTGAACTTTATGACTTATATCACACAAGAGTAATGGTCCCCATTGGGAAAAAAAAATGAAAATAATCCAATACTACTAAATTATATCTCAGACTGCAAGCAGAAGAAACAAGAATGTTTTGATAAAGCTTCTGGAACAATAAGCTGAACAATAATGTTCAGCTGCTCATTTAAACATCATTTTGCAAAATAATCCCCTCTCCATGAACAGAGTGCACAGGACCTGCTAGGAATGCTTACGGCAATCCCTCCTACATTGATTTTTGGTATACTTATTATTAATAATAAGCTTATTATTATTAAAATTTAAAGTGCTGTCTCCCATAACCTATCTAAATATTTGTAAATCTCCATAAAAAAAATTTAGAAAGTTGCAGGTATAAGAATTATTTCTAAAGGGAAACAGGTAGGGATAGGTTTTTATGAAATTAGAAGTAGTTATCGAGAGCTCAATGAAATAATGAAATCACATTGTACCACATGATCCTGTAACTGGACCTTCAACCCAGGTTTTACTTTCAGGAGCTCGGACAGAAGGTAAAGGGCTCCACAAATAAAGGGTGGCATCTGTCCACAAGTGACTTGAAGTAACCTCTTCACAAAGGCTTTCACTCGCCGTAACACTACGTCCGCCTTCAGGGACTTATAGATAAGGTTAAGAAACATGGATGGCTTTGAACAAGTTGCTAAACCAGGATCCAGCAGCTTCCTGTAGGAAATACAAGAGAAAATATCTTGGTTTTCATAACACATGCAGGAGAATAATTGCTATTAACAACAGTGACCTAAATTTTTCAAAGTGGTATCTGAAAGACTAGTCATAGCTTGTTCTCCAACAAACCCAAAATGTTATAATCAACCCTGAAATATCAGCATTAGTGTCGCATTGATGAAAGGGAGATACAGGGGAAAAAAAGAAAAAACTATACCTGCAGATAGAAAAATAAAAAAGGAAAATGTATAAAGGAACTCAGTTCAAATGAAAAAAAGTTTCAAAACTGAAGACATTCAAAGTGAGAAACCAGTCTGATTTATTCAGACTTTCTAAATAAATAAAGTTAGCACTAAAATATTTGACAAAATCGACCTATTCATTGCCCAGCCCAATTTCTTCTCCCTTTTTTTACTGGCTACCAGGCACAGGAAGGCTACTAAATATATCACATGTTTTGAAGGGAACAAGTGCTCACTTCTAAAAGCACTGATTTTCTTATCAACCAAACAGATGCCTATACAGATGCTATAAGGACTTGCGGTAATCAGCTGGGGCAAAAAATACATACATATATATATATATATATGTATTTGCAATACAAGGTTTTCTAACTATACAAATTAAACCATTTAAACATTCTGTGGATATTTTTTCCCCTTCATGATAAAAATATGTGCAATGTCTCAGGCTGGTACGTGTCTAAAATAAGAACTTGCTGAAAAAGTGACTTCAGAAGTAGCAGTTATCAACTAGTTTCAAAATACATCTGGAATTAAAAGATGCCACCAGAAAACAATGCAGAGAACGAGATCTAATTGTGGTGTTCTCAGGACTTACACTACCATTTGTTTTATCCCAGTGTTAAGTGACAGAGAACACATTTTCTCCTAAGTCATATAAAACATGACAGATTTTTATGTAAGACATGAAACTCCAGAATATGCAGAGGAAAATGTTTCTATAACATTACTTCAAAATAAAAGAAACTACTCTGTAAAGCTAAATTCATATCCCAAGGCCAAATCTGTCACTTACCTGTACAGCGCGGTGTAATACCTGTCCGACACGGTCTGCTGAGAGTCCATCACTTGGAAAAGCAACATTAGGACCTGAACACTAGTACTGAAGTTCACAACATGCAGAACTTTAAACAAGGTGTTCAGCTGCTCCTTCACTTTCTCATCGCCCGTCTCTGCATATGGGTAAGCTCTGTTCACTCCGCTCAGAAGAGCGCTGAGCATTTTGGATTCAACATCCTTTTTTTTAATGCAGTTCCGGAAAAAGCAGAAATACAAAGTTATGAGCTTGTTGGCCAGCGCGCTTTCCTCATGGCTGAGGACTACCTGATTTAAAAAGCAGATGGCATAGTACTGGGTTTTCACACTGATGTTGGAGCGGTACAAGAGCCTCTCCACCTCGCTGCACACAACTCCTTTCATATTTGGATGTTTGTGAAGTAAAGTCTCCAGCAGGTAGGAGGCTTTGGTGGCTATTTTATTCTGAGGGTCGCCCAGTTTATTTACCAGCAGAACAAGCAGAGCCTTCTCCTGCTCAGGCTTGTTACAGAGGAGCTCGTGAGCAACAGCCAGTGCTCGGGCTTTTGATGCTGTCAGAGAATCATGGCTCAGTGTTTCCAGCGCCTGCACAAACTCGGCCACTTGCAGTTTCAGCTGATGCTCAAAGTACCACAGTATCAGCCGTCTGTCTCTCGAGTCTCTGTTCCCACTTGCCATCTTTCCTATGTTGTTAAAAGGATGCTGTGAAAAAGACGATAGTTTACGATTGTCTGGTAGCAAATCTGACATGAGGAGCTCCTTGAAAGTATCCAACGCCATGAGGCTCTGCTGCTTGCTGCCCTTCTTCTTTACGAGGTTTACCAGGTTCTCAACAAAATGAAGACTGTGCACAGCACTGTCCTGAATGAGAAGGGTCATGGCTGCCATCCTGTCAGCTAAGGTACCTGACGACACAACAGTTTTCATCCATGCAGAGGAGGCCCCCTTCTGATAACTTGTCTTACTCTTAAACAAATCGGTCTCGTGTTGGTACAGCTTTTGGGCCAAGGCCTTATACTTGGACAGAAGCGCCTGATCTTGTGGCTCAGAAGTGAATTCGCTGGTGTATTCTAGATCATACCATTTGCTCCCTGGTTTGATCAGTAGCACCTGCCTAGCATGAAATTCAAAGTCTTCTTCCTGCCGCTCTTTCTTTTCCAAAAGGTGCTGGTCCTGATCACAAACTGCCTGCTTTTTCTTGCGGTCTTTCCTGCCGCTCGTTTGTTCTTTGACTTTTTTTCCCTCTAACGAAGGGGTGCTAATCTCCTTCTTGCTTTTCCCTTTCTTGACAGGCTTCTCTTTTTTCCGGCTGTCGCCAGCACCCTCGTCGCCGCCGCCATCCTCCACCACGAGGCAGCTTTCCGCGTACTTGCCGAGCCCCAGGGAGCTCACGAACGCCTCGAGCTCCCCGGGCTTCAGGTCGTCCTCGACCGCGTCTTTCTTCCCGCCATCCACAATCTCCTGCTCCTCGTCCACACCGTACAGCATGAGGTAGTCTTGCTGCGGGCGACAGCGCGCGGCCGTTAGGCGGCAACGGCCAACGGCCGCCGCCAACGGCCGCCGCCAACGGCCGCCACGTGCTCGCGCGCCCCTCGCCTTCCCCTTACCTTGGTGCCACCGAGACGCAGCACCTCGTCCAGCGTGAAGCCGTCGGGTGCGTCATTCTCCTCCTCGGCCTCGTCGCCGTCGCCCTCGCTGCCGCCGCCCTCGCTCGGCTCGCTGTCGCCGAAGTCCCACAGCGCCGCCGCCATGGCCGCCCCGCCGGATGCTGCCGCGGCCGCCGCGCGCCTGCGCC